ATATATGATGGGGTATTATGGTTATCACAAGAGTCCAAAATTAAGGTTGCATAGTGGAGTGTACTCGGGGTGGTGGGAGGGGTACAGGGGGATTGTATACCAAAGAAGGAAATTTTCTTTTGCTTTTCAAAGAGGAGCGAACTGGGGGTCTGGAGGGGAGGGCTGGGCAGGGAGAAAAGTGCAACAATGAATGAATGGAAATCCAGAATCTCTGTAAATGTTCATTAAAATTAATAAAATAAAATAAAAAAGCCCAGATAGAGTCACTACAACAGGTGTGACCTCCTGTTAAATAAAACGGGGATGTAGCAAGATGTTGACTGTGTTCTTACCAGATGAGCAATTCTGCATTAGTCAGATTCAGAACACAGGAGCACTATCTTAAAAGCAGACAGTGACTTAGGCTCTTGTAGTCCCTGCCAGCCCTGACCAGTGATTCCTTAAGAAGACCAATTGCCTTAGACTCCCCAAGCAACACAGGAGAGTAGTATCAGTCATTGAGTGTTAGAAGTGGCATCTTCCTGTCAAGCTGGAGTTCACAGCTCCTAAGAACTTGGTCTTTTTAGACTCTGTGAACAGCACCATTTACCTGGAGGACAATGAAGATCATAGTGTGCTTTATTCTTTCAGGCAGTAGAAGCGGGGCAGAGTCGAAGTAACCCACTGCTAAGAAAGCCTGTGCGGACGCAGGCGGTGGTCGACCAGTCTGACATGTACACCCACGTCCTGTCCGTGTTCTCGGAGAACAAGGTGGGCCACAGCTCCCAGCACTCAGGGTTCCCAAGACCAAGAGCTCTTAGAAGGAACTGAGGGAAATCAGCACCACCTGTAGCGCGATTAGAATGCGTGGCATTATCCTGAGTGAAGACTTAGCGCTAATAGTTTGGCTTTTAATATTCAGCCCTAAAACAAATTATTGAGCAGGAATGAGTCTGAAGGAATTTGTGCAGTAGAACTTTGAACCACTTAGTAGAATATTAGACCTGTTTAATATGGGCAGAAAGGAGTTAGGTTAACAGGGAATTAAATGTGGCCCTTAGGTAACTCTTTGGTGTTTAGGAGAATGTTTTGTTTTCTCTGCAGGAGCTGCCTCATAAGTTTGTGATAGCTGTGCTGATGGAATATATTCGCTCTCTAAACCAGTTCCAGATTGCAGTGCAGGTACTTTCAAACCACAGCTGTCCTTCCAAGTTTTTCCTGTCATGATTTAGATGATGATCTGTGACATAGGAGGGCTCTGAGGGTTGACTGTGAGCATCTTTGCAGACACAGTCCTTGATTTTTAGTGGGAGGAGTGTAACTATCAGGGCGGGCTCATATATCCATGCAATGACATCACTTGTTAGTAACAGAAAACTTTTACCCCCATGGGTTGTAAGAGCTCTGATTCCCCGTAACTTAGTCTGTGATAGTTGAAGTGGGATCACCTTCCCTCTTTTTACTGTGTCCTCAGCATTACTTACATGAGCTGGTTATCAAGACGCTGGTCCAGCACAACCTTTTCTACATGCTGCACCAGTTCCTGCAGTACCATGTCCTCAGTGACTCCAAGCCTCTGGTACGTAACTCGGACAGGTTGCTGGCCGTGGAGTGACTAGAGAGGTAGAATTTAACTGCCTAGCATCTGAGGCTGCAGCAAGGCTGGACATTTCTCTTTCAGGCCTGTCTCCTGCTCTCCCTGGAAAGTTTCTATCCTCCTGCTCATCAGCTGTCTCTGGATATGTTGAAGGTACGCAGCTACATCATAGGTTTCGACTACCCATCCCAGTTTCTTGAATTTACCTGGCGTTCTCGCTCTTTCTCTCGTAGAGACTTTCAACCGCAAATGATGAGATTGTGGAAGTGCTTCTCTCCAAACACCAGGTGTTAGCTGCCTTACGGTTCATCCGGGGCATTGGTGGCCATGACAACATATCTGCACGAAAATTCTTAGATGCTGCAAAGCAGACTGAAGACAACATGCTTTTCTATACGATATTCCGGTTTTTTGAACAGCGCAACCAGCGTTTGCGGGGGAGTCCTAATTTTACGCCAGGTGAGAACAGAGTAGCAGCCAAGAGCCCTGGGGACAGCTGTGGGCCCGTCTAGTGACAAGCTGGTCTTGGTGGTCCATGGTGAGCAGATGAGGATGCTGTCTTGTTAAGGGACAGTCTGGTAGGAAGCAGCACTGGGCAGCTTATTTTTCATTGTGAAATTTCCTAACATCTGGTCTAGTCCCCAGTTGCTGCTGTGCAGTGAATTCTAGAATATCTGATACCCTGACGCTGACAAGTTCAATGGCAAAATCTTGGATTATCTCTTTGTGAAAAACCAGGAATAAAATCGTATGAAGGCTAAGGGTTTCCAATGGCCTCGGGTCTACTGCTTCAGTTTTAGGCAGGAAATACTACCAATAATCACTTTCATCTTCGAATTCTAAAATCTGATAGGAGAACCCTATGGCTCAGCTGGACCACAAGGATTACCAGCAGATCCTTTTCCGGTTCATACGTGATGATTGAAGAGCTCACACTTCTGTATATGTGCCACCTACTAAACCTTGTGACTTAGGCATATTACCCATCTGACATGAACTTGGAAAGGTTCATTTCTTGATAAAAAAAAAAGGATTACCAGCAAACTTTTCAGTGGCTTATCTGGTGTGCAGGGTGAGACCAGAGAGGTTAGGGTTATCTTGTCTTGGAGCCGGTGGCGATTAGCTGGGGCTATTCAAGTACCTAAATAGCTTTACAGTGGCATGAGCTGTGGAGATTATAAAAGGCAACTTGAAGCTTAGGGAAACAAGTCTTTTATTACTGAAAATAAGTTAAACCCCAGCCAGTAGGCCTGTGTATGAACTACAGCATTCATTCTCCTGTTTTCCTTCCTTCCACACGTCTGTTGGTTAACCTGGATTTTCCTTCCTAGGCGAACACTGTGAGGAGCATGTTGCTTTCTTCAAGCAGGTTTTTGGAGATCAAGCTTTAATGAAGCCCACCACATTCTGAGAGAAACTACTTCCTAGTTTGTTTTTTTTATATATAAAAATGTGTACAAAGTTAATTTATTGCATTAATAAAGGTCTTTAAACTACAAAATGTTATAATAAAGTTTCTCTACAACACCCTCAAATGTTACTAAAAATAGGGTAGTAGGGCTTGTTTGATGGCTTACTCCTAAAAAAGGAGGAAATTGCATTGATTGGCTTTAAAACAGTGTCCGTGAGCAGGTCCTGTTCACAGAGGTCCCCATGTTGCCTGGCGAGTCCCGGAAGAGGCTCGCATGCCTGTCCTGCCCCCGCAGGCTCAGTAATACTGCTTCAGTCAGATCTGCGTTCCTGAGATTAAGAGCGCTGTGTCCAGAGCGGGGCTATTCAACGACAGGGACCAGCGAGCCTCTGTGAAGTGGCTGCTGCCCAGTGGTCAGCAGACCAGGCCTGCAACACAAGTCCGAGTCACTGAGCCCTGGGAGGGGCTAGAAATTGAGGAGCCGTTCTCGCTCTGTGCCTTGGTATCGCTCTTGAGTGGTGCTCATTTTGGCTTTATTTATTGATGGTCCTATGAGAGATGAAAAAAAATAAATTTTAGGAGAAAAGGGGATCTGTGCTGGTTTGCTTGGGAACCAGTTTCTATTCTCCAGAGGAGAGGAGAGCTGGAGGCAGGGTAAGCACCTGCTTCTCAGCCGGCTATTTCAGTAACATCATTACCAAGCTACAGAACTCAAGCAGTAGGTACTGCTCGCTGACTCTTGGTCATTTATGAAAAAGCAGAAGAGTTCTGTCAAAGTAAAATGAACATGATGGAGGCAGCTCTCTGCGGAAGACAATATATGAGTGAGTGAACTAGACCAGGCTGCTGGGCGGTGAGGACCTGGCCTCAGCTTTACTTCCTCCCCGCCCCCAGCTCTTTTCAGGAGCCATTGGTTTGCTGACTTTCCAGCCCGCCAGGGTCCGACCGAGTGGCTTGTAAAGCAGTCAAGTCAGGCCTCGGGGAAAGAGTGTCAGCCATTTATGAATGACCCATCTGACCAAGCAGGAGGCGTTAGATGGAATGCAGTTCTCAGAACCACTCGTCAAATGACCAGTGCCCCTGCTGCCCTCTCCAGAACAACCCAGGCAGGTCCACTGCTGTTCTTCCGGACTCCCACAACCCTGCACTGCCGAGGCTGGAAGTCTTAGAGGGAGGATAGCACCTGCCTCACCTTTATCCATCGAAGCGGCTGATGGATTCAGACAGCCCACACTTACCCACCTCCGTCACTGCGGCTCCTTAACTGACCGTTAGTGTGGCTGCTTTAAAACGCACTTCAAAGTGCCATCATTCTCATTCATACCCTGCTCCCTCTCATTCCACCTTCTGCAAATGAGAACTCTTACCGATGTAACTGAGCAAGACAGGGAGGAATATCAATCCGTGAGTGGCTCCCAGCAACACCATAGCTAAATACATCCTGAAGTAAAAGATCTGGAAAATTTGAGATTTGGCAAAGGCCAACACCACAATCCCTCCAAATTTGGTGAGTGTGATTCCGCTGAATACCTAAGAGCAAAGAGAGGGTATCAGAAACCACTGAAGTACTTCCTCACACAGGCTCTTCTTAATTTTAAGGTTCCAAAGTAATGAGGTGTTAAGTAAGTATTGTCTTAAGGCTCTGTGTTCTGCACGATGATAATCTGCTTCACTGAATACCTATTATGTGCCATCAAGTTAGCACCGACTCATAGCTGAACCTCTGGCAGGGCTCCCAGAGGCTGTTAATAGCACTGGACCTTGCCCGTTGTTCTCCCTGGGAACAGGTGGTGGATTTGAACAGTCTGCCTTGGGGTTGGCAGTGGAACACCTTAGCACTAAGCCACCAGACTCCATAATACCTATAAGGTATCTAAAATTCTTATAAAACAAAAAAGTTATTACTCTAACAGTATTTTGTATGGTAGTATAAGAAACTCAATATCCTTATTGACATACTAAACATAAGATAGTTAAACCAAAAAGGAACTCCAGATACCACTGACAATTTGCATGGCAGGTTCTGGAACACAATACAGCTCCTTATTGATTTAGTACTTCTTACTGGCTTGTATTTTAAATGGAAGACTTCCAGCTCTCTCAAGTCTAACTTCTGTATGTTCGTTCTTGAACCACATTGCCTCCTAAAGAGAATTCTCACAAATAAATATCAAACAAGAAAATCCACCACCGTCACCACACTCAGCCTCACTCCTGGTGAACCATCACTTTCAGAGGCTTTGAATCTTAATGGGAGCAGACTGCTCCATCTGGCAGTGGTGAGTTTGAACTGCTGAACTTTAGGTTTGCAGCCCAACACTTTAACCCTCTGCACCACCTTAACTCAGGTCTGTATATGATGCATCTATTTCATGACCCGTCTGAAGCCTCAGTTCCAAGGAGCTCTGCGTTCTCACTCTGACTCAGGTGACCCTCCGGTGAGTTCAGAGATGTGCTTCACACAGGAGGAGCCTGCCTGCCTTTTCCCCACAGAGCAACTGGTAGATTGAAATCATCAGAGAGGCTCGGTCTTTGGGTTAATGGCACAGTTTCAACTTCCCCACAGACTATGCCACCAGCTGTCCCTGCTTTCTAATTCGAGGATTCAAGTTCTGCTTCAGCTGCTGAATTTCTTAAGTGCCTTCTGAGAATGCCTGGTCATGGAGAGCCCTCGGTGCCAACCCCGCCCGAGGACTCACCGAGCTGCCCATGTGTGACAGCGCCTCCTCCGAACGGCCCAGTCGGTTCCCCTTGGTGCTCACGGTGAACGCCCTGGTGATGTGGCTGCAGAACTCCACGGAGATGCCACAGCTCTGCAAGAAAGTTCCTGTGTGACCGAGGTTGACCTGCCTGAAACCCCAACAGCCCTCCTCTCCGAGGGTGTGAGCCACTAGGGGCGCCCTCCATAGCACCACTCTTCCCCCACCCCAATCCAGAGGGCTCACCCTGATTTAAGCTGTACCAGGAAGCTCTGGCAACCTTCCAGCACATGTGTACCTCTGACAGGGAGGGGCAGGCATGCCCTAAGGACCCCAGCTCCCACCACAGGGCCCACTGCTGTTCCCAGCTTGGATTCACTGCTGCCCCACTGAGGCAGCGTTACTGTAAGACTAATCCCATTAAATAGCACATGGCAGGGCTAATGCACTGGCCGCAAAGTCCCCAGGGTGGGGGCCACTTGCCTAAGTTAAAAGAAACCTGGTCCCATCATTAGGCTACCTGCTAGCTCTTGAGAATAATAAAGGTCGAATGGCCAAGCTCAACCATAACATTCTACCTACATCTAAAGGGGTAGAGACACAAAACTGACCTAAATGACTTGGCTTTGATGTGAGTCTGTCCCCAGATGCAGCTCTTCACATCCCCACGCCAAGGAACTCTCACCCCCTGCTCTAGGTGCAGCAGAAGGCAGAGCCTGACTAGACAGTCTGCCCATCCTAAAGTTTCTAGAACCTGAAACATTCCAGTAAACGATGCAGGAGGTAGGGACAAGATCGGAGTGGCCCAGAACTCACCATAACCAGGTTGACCAAGGACACAGCATTCAGGCTGATGCCCCACAGCCACATGACCCCAAACATGTTGACCAAGATCATGGCGATGGTGACGCACACGATCACTGCAGCCCACAGCTCGAAGCCCAGGAGAACCAGGGTCACCAGAAAGATGGCGCCCAGGGACACGCCAAGGTTAAAGATGGTGTCATCAACAATGGTCAGGTACTGCTCGTAGAAGACGTAAAAGACACTGCCGAAAGGAGTGGGGCAATGCAATGAGTGCATTATCTCTTCTGGAAGCTTCTACTTTGCATCCCTCCACTACTGCAGAACTGGGGGGGCACCCAAGACATTCCTGTAGACAGGCTGCCTGGGAAAAGACTCACTTATGGGACTTGAATTGGAACTTCGACAGCTAAACACCTGCAGGAATGACTCAAAATGTGCACCCCACACAAAGACATAGTTCATAAGCCGAGTCTAAGCTACCATATGGACACTTATAAAGAAGATTCTGTGGTACCAAGAAACAAAACACAACTGAGTTCTGTTTTATTTCTGAGTACTCCCTCAGGTCAAAGGGCACTTTGTGCACAGACAGTTTCCCGAGGACAAAGTTAACAGCTCTTCCCAGAACTCGGGTCAGCCACTCTGAGAAGTTCCCCCATCTGAGAGCAGCCAGGAGGCTCTTCAGACACAATGGAAGGGAAGGAAAAAAGTTACTCATTTCTTCTACCTTTACTTTCTAAATCTATTATTTCATACATGGTACTTTTATCATGAGAGGAAAATACAATAAACTGTCATAGTTCAAGTTATTCAGCTAGGATAGCAGCTGACGCCAGGGCCTTTAGCTGCTGCTTCTCTGTGAAGCCTGGTGCCTGAGCACTGCAGAACGGACCTGCGCTCTGTCTCTTTCAGGTCGGGAGCCCCAGCACACACTCAGATCTCAGTGCCCGAGACCGGCAACCCTACCAGTCGGCAGTTGCCCTGGATGCTCTCTGTCTTGCCCAAGATGGAGCAGGTATTAGAGAAACAGACGGTGGGTGCAGAGTTATCATCACCTCCAGGGAAACCTCAAGTTCAGGCCCTTTCCTGGTCAGCCCTTGTCTGAGGGTGAGGGGCACTTTACCTGTATGGGAACACCCGGTACTGGTCTCCCTGAACGCCCATGGACTCCGTGATGTTACTGGCTATGAGCCGTGCTTTCTTCATTGCGTCAATGAAGTCAGCAGAGGTCTTCAGCACAGTGTGGTAGGTCATGAAATACGTGGCTCCAACGCTGGTGTCATTGCCCAAGATGGTAACTGCTGAGCTGTACGCAGCGTGTCCCCTGAGAGAGGAGTCAGTGGAGGTCAGAAAAGCCACAAAAAGGCCACAAAAGATCTGCAGAACATGAACACTTAAGGCTTAACCAAAGTGCAGACTGAAGGGACAGAAAAGGCCTGCTGATTCAGTGATTTCTTTTTGAGATTTTGTTGTTTTTTTTTAAATTGTTCTTGGTTTCTTTGCTGTGTGTACATTTACTTTTGAATAACTACTAGAGTACAAGTTAACACAGCATAAGCTCTATTAGCTGCTGTTGCATCAGTGCTAACTGGGCTTGCAAACACATGTGTTTCTAGATGAAGTCTGCTCAGTAAGGTTGTGTAACAGGAGGTAGGAAAGAGCAAGGGCCTTGAACTCAAACAGCCTGGAGTCATCGCAGCCCAGCCATTCACTGGCCGTGCAACCCTAGACCCAGTTATATAATCTGGGCTCTCGCTTTCTCATCTGTAAATGAGTAGAATACCACCCACTCACAGCGTTGCCGGAATAATTAAAGAATGCCCATGAGGTGCCTGGCCCAAAACTGGCCCACAGAAACTCTCCACGTAAGGTGGATACTGACTATATAAAAAACAACAGCGTTTCAACACAGCCTATAAAGGTTTAAGATGCTGTGAAGTGGGCTCTTTTTTATGTAGGCCAAAGCATTCTGATTGCAAGCAAACCAAGTTGCAAGATTCATGTCTATTTAATTATAGGGCTAGTCTTGCCACGGTAATGAGTATCGAGCTTCAAAAGGGATGTGCTCTGTGACTGAGGTGGCTCTGGCCAAGCACGTGTTCTCATGAAAAGAGGCCCTTGTAGGTTTCCTCCGTGGACGTGTGGGCACTCATCTTCCTCCTACAGAAGCGTCCACGTGGAACCCACAAACTTGCAATCACTGCCACCCTTTCTGTGCCAGATGTCCCCCTCCACTGGCGTGGGGCTGCCAGGGAGCCCTCTACACCACATATCTGGGCAGGAAAATGGATGGATCCAAGGCTGAACCACAGCGAGGCGTTGCCCCATCTGCTCATGGACACAATATGACAGGCCGAGGTTTTTCACATTCCCTGACAGCAGTGTGCCGCCTTCTTCAGCCCTCCCCTACCTGCCTGGAATCTCTATCCACTCATGTAACTAAGACCCAGAGGGAGGCATAAAGAATGATGCTCAAGCAAGGACGAAATGATGGCTTTCTATATTGATCTGAACCTGTCCTAGCTTTCCATGACACATCTACGCTGAGGTGGCTGTGTTTCTGAAAAGCTGAGTATCACTTACCCCTTGCCGCACTTGGGGTTGGGGTTGTCAGACAGGAACATGGGCAGGAATTTCATGAAGTCTTCCCCTTGGGGCCGCTGTCTGCCCTCCGGGGTGAGTGGTCGGCAGCGCACACAGGCAGGATCGACCACTGGCATAAACATGGAAGGGAGAGCCAATGGTTAGAGAGGGTCTCTAACACCACTATAAAACAGTGATAAAAAAGGACTTCCTAAAACTTTCTCCCATCCAGAGGTTTCAGGCCCTAATGCTTATCACAGTGTAATAAATGTGACATGCTGACTTCACTGCAGGCAAAAAACATGTCCAAAAAACATGACTACCCTTGTCAAAGGCCAGAGCTTCCATATTTTCACTGAAAAAGTTCTAGTGAAAAGCTCAACATTGTAACAAAACACAGAGCAACTGTGACTTTAAAAAAAAAAAAAGCATGGAAGGTCAAGGCCAGAGTCAATCCGGAGAGGCATCAGTGCAGTCAGAAAAGGTGAGAAGATTTCCTGAATGCCAGACTCCTTCCTGTGGATGAATGATGGGCTGGCGCAGCACAGCACTTATGTGGCCTGGGACAGCAACATTTTCAGAGTGAGGATCAAGGCTCAGTGTTGGCAAACAAATCGGTGAAAACAGAAGTGAGTTTTGGTCTATAATGTTACACCATGGACTCCTAGAAGAACAAACGAGCTCGCCCTGGAGAGGGTGAAGCCAGGCTGCTCCTTGGAGGCAAGATTCTGAAGCTTCGTATGACATACTTTGGGCATGTTGCAAGTCGGGATCAGTCCTTGGAGAGGAAAGTCATGCTTGGGAGGACAGAGGGACAGCGCAAGATAGGAAGATCCTCAATGAGATGGATTGATTCAGTGACTGGGGTAATGAAGGTAGGTGTATCAGAGACAGTAAGATTGGCATAGGATAGAGCAGGGTTTAGGGCTATTGTACATAGGGTCGTTATTTGTCACAGGCGACTCAATGGTACATAATAACAACAACATTACACTACTTTTAACATGGGTATGAATACACCTTTTTGGAGGGTAGCTCTGGTTTCTTTAGGGTATATTCCTAGTAGTGGAATTGCTGGGTCAAATGGTATTTCTGTTTCCAACTTTTTGAGAAAGTGCCATACTGTCTTCCATAGTGGTTGTACCATTTTATACTCCCACTGGCAGTGAATAAGGGTTCCAATCTCTCCATAACTTCGCCAGCATCTACTGTTTGCTGATCTGCTGAACTTTGCTATTATTACTAGGGTGAGATGATAGCTCACAGCTGTTTTATTTGCATTTCTCTAAGAGAGAAGGATTTTAAACATTTCTTCATGAGTTTCTTTGCTACGTAAATATATCTTCTTCTTCTTCTTTTTTTTTAAATAGCAAAGACTTCAGAAACAACCCAAGTGCCCATCAACTAATAAACTGATAGAAAAACTATGGTATTTTCACACAATGCAATACTATGCAGCACTGAAAACAAGGAACTCATAAAATATTACACAACATAGGGGACCCTAGAGGACATCATGCTGAGTGAAATACCTTAGCCACAAAGGATAAATACTGCATAACACCACTGTTATAAAACAGGACCGAGAGGGGTTGGGGGGAAAATAAGAAAAGAGGTAATAAATGATGAACACTGTATTGAAACAGATGAAGAAAAAAAACTATTTAAAAGGAAGATATGCATACACATTATTTGTTAGACAATAGTCCATAATAGCAAAGTCAAATGGGAGATCGGTGGGTGAGGAGGGAGGCAATTATGCAACAATGAATAAATTTTTTTTTAAGTGAACTGGGGGGTACGTAGGGAGGAAAATGTGCAACAATGACTGAAAATCCAACTTTTCTGTAAACTTTCATAAAAATCACAATTAAAAATGTAAAAAAAAATTTACACTGCTTCTTGAAAGTAGAAAAGGATGGGCAAGATTAGGGTAAGGAAATGAGAGCACCTGAGGCATTGCAGAACTGATCTGTGACATTGAAGACTCTGCAGCAAGAAGACTGAGGCTTAATCCAGTCAAAATAATCATCGATCCAGGATGAGGGCGCAAAGCCTATGCGGGTGCTAGAGAAGAGGAGGAACAGTTACTGTCTCGGCCCACAGCGGGGAAGTCTTTAGTGTCCGCGCTTTTCCTCAGACAATTTCCTATTCTACAGTTAGTACTACTGCCTAGCAAAAACGATAGAAAACAAAAAATTCCTCTAACACTTAATGGGAAAAAAGTTAAAATATCAAATAATAAACAAATCCTTTAAAAGGTTTGTTGCTGTGTGCTGTTGAGTCAGAAGTGACTCCTAGCTGACCCTCCAGTGGGTTTTCTGAAGCTGTGAATTGTAAGGGAGGAGACCGCCCCTATCCTCTCACAGAGCAGCTGGTGGATTCAAACCATGTGCCTTTGGATTGCAGCACAGCTTCCTACCACTAGGCCACCAGAGCTCCCTTTAAAATCTTTTCTTCCTGTGAAACTCGATGTAACGTGCATTTTGAATGACGCTAAACTGTGCAAGCAATCTACTTTAGGTGAGGAATTTCAGACCCGAGCAGACTTTCTGCGCTGCTCCTGCTACAGCGTGGGACCACTGGGAGCACTTACTAGCTGTCCAGCTCAGCCGCGTTGAACAGCTGCTGGACCAGGGAATCATTGTTGCACCCCATGCCGCCACACACCATGTTCTGTCCTTCCAGAGACGTGTAGTTGTGGCCCTCCTCCAGGACAAAGTACACGGGGGGACCTGCGTGCAGGTACTGGCTAAGGGACTTGAAGTAATCTATAACGTAGGAGTCCTAGACAAAGAATCAAGGAAAGAAAAATTAGCAAAGTTCTGATAGTAACTACGTAAGATTATCACTAAGAACTATAAAACCAATTAAAGGCTATTGGCCAAGATTCCCTTCCGACCTAACACAATTTCCTTTACGCCTCGTCTCCACTAGGGCCCCCACATTCTCCTCTTTGTTGTTGCTGTTGTAAGTGCTGATGAGTCAAGTACGACTCATAGCAATCCTGTGAAAAACAGATCCGAACCCTGTCCTATTCTGTGCCATCCTCTTAATCTCTGACACACTCAAGCCCACTGCTGCACTACTGTGTCAGTCCACCTGGTTTAGGGTCTCTCTTTCGCTGACCTTCCACTTTCCCAAGAATGATGTCCTTCTTCAAGAAATAGCCTTTCCTAGCAACATGCCCAAAGACAGTGACATGAAGCTTCACTAGCCTTGCTCCAAGGAGCACTCTACCACATCTCCGAGATACAGCTATCTGGCCTCCTCTTGGTGTCTCAAGATTGAAAGCTAACTGACAGCCTGTTCAGATGCTGCAGCTGTGTGCAGAGGCTGTGCCCTAGGCTCTTTGTGAGCCAGGAGTCCACTGTGGCCGTCTACCGAGCCTGATAGCCGTGCTCAGAACCCTGGACAATACTAGCGCTTGGTCAGCTTGAAACACCCACATGTGTGCTTTAAAACACATATTCATTAACAGCTAAACAAGTTCAAATGAAGAAGAAAGCACCTTACATCAGGCATTGATAGAGACTGATCCAATCCAATTTCTACTTTGTCCAGAACCGCAATACTGAATGACAGAATGCCCACAAAAATCGCTATCTGGAATGGAAAGTGAATTATGAGACAGAGCTTGCGTAGTGCCATAATGAACTTAAGAACACAAAATCTTAAGTACAAAGAAACTGTAGGACTTGTTAAACTGGAAAATAAATTTAAATGACATGTAGCAAAAAAAGGGAGCATGAAGTAGTAGCTGAGGTCACCGTGTCCACAGTCAAACTTCTAGGTTCAAATACTGACTACCACTTACTGGCTGCCTTTGGCAAGACAGCTAATCTCTTTTAGCCTCAACATCCCCACCAGGTAAAGGGGGAGGGGGGAGAGGGAAATGAACTTGTTCTAGCACAAGTGTGTAAGTTAATTCATCCAAAGACAATTCAGGGCTTAGGTCAGTAATCAACAGATACTGTGAGTTACATCTGTTACGTACTAACAAATGTCATGAATTACTACTACTTTTACCTTTACTAGAAACTAATGTATGTTCTTTTCAGTAGAAAAGAGGTTATCATCACTGCTAGCTACATCTGTTTTCAAGCTTTAAAAGGCTCTTTGTGGTTGCTAGGATAAGGGTGGTGGTATATTAAAGGAGCTCACTGCACTGAAGCTACAGCTCTGCAATGGTGATTACAAGAATCTACAGAGGGGACAGAAATGACAGAGAAAGCACACGCACGCGCGCGCACACACACACACACACACACACACACACACACACACACTCTCTGTAGCCTGGTTCTGAGCCTCTACTGTAACTATATAACATGAGACACTGGGGGAAACTCAGATTCAGCCCTCTCTGCACTGTACTTGCAACTTCCTCTTGGATCTGTAATTATTTCCAAATGAAAAGTTAAGGCAAACAAAATCTCTGATAAAACCTAGGTAGACAGTTTCCACACGTTAACAAGTTTCATATTTCTGTTTGTATATCCAATATCTGTCAGAATGCCTTCCCCAGCTGTTTGGTTCTTAGAAGGCCTGTGAAAAACCTGTTTTGGGGAGAAGAGAGAAAAGCCACAGAGAGATGCATACCACTACTGGGCGCATCCAGTCCTTAAGCAGAAGCGGGGAATAAGAGTTTTTAAAGAATCGAAATAAACAGCTCTCGGAGGCCTGGACACTTGTGCCATCGTTGGCGCCCTGGACACAGCAAAGGATATCCAGACGATTTTTCTGAGGGAACACAGAACAACAAGGTCACAGAAAACACCTGGTGCTGGCTCCACCTACATTCTAGATTCAAATGAAACAAACCTGGGCAAAACTTACCTCTTGGCGCTTAATGTCTAATCCCAAGAGACTAACAAAACATGTAATCTGAAGGAGGAAGTCGATGAAGACAGCCATTCCAGCGAACAGAGAGAACGTGTGAACGGCGGGCATCATTGACAAGGCTCCTGTGAGGGAGAAAGGCTGTTGGGTCACTGTCATCCGCAACAGTTAAGCTGGTCCATCCCTGTGCACATTTCCTATTGCGAAAACAAGGAGCCAGGATGGGCCGAGCCCTAAGACCCTCCCCTCGGTGTGGCTGTCAATCCAGACCGGCAAGAAGAGTCTAGAAGGCCTGCTTTTCAAAGTGGAAACCGCACCAAAATGAGCACGGAGGTGTGAAAACACCAGCTTTGGGATCCCAACACTGTCCCACTCAAACAAGACCCAATCAATTCAATCCTAAATTCTACTGCATTTAAAAGGCTCTGCTGGCCAATTAAACACGTCACAGTGTGAGAACCCATATAGGCTATTTCTTATGTTCTTCACTCAGAAACCACCTGCTGTGTGTCAACATTAGGCTTTCTGCTTAGTTATAGGCAGTCACATGAAGGCTCTGGGTGAATAAGACAAGGGGGTTCAGACTCAGAAATCACAAACTGATCAGCTTCATGTGTCAGACTCTTTGGCCCACACCGTATCAATCTGTTTCAGGACTAAAATTCTTTTACAAAGTATCTAATATTTTAAAAAGAGATTCCACACTGAAGTCTAGAATTACAGTCACACTTGGGGGAGGAGGGGTGAAATCACTCCGGAGCACTGAGAAGTCTGTGTGGTTTTCCAGCCATGTACAGAAACTGAAGGGCTGCCTGCTTCCCCTGTTCTATACTTTATACAAGGCCCATGTAGTGAAATAAGATCTAAGAACCTCTGATCACCAATGAGGTGCCTCTCCAGTGAAATGTGGGTAGAGAAGACTGGCTATCAGAATAACAGGGCAACAAGTTCCATTTTGCGAGCAAAATGCCCACAGATTTGAAAGATGCTCTTGATAGCGTGCTGAGGAAGATTCTTCAGCTAGATAATGTCATTTTCAAATAGCAACATGTGCCAGGAGTGTCAAGAGAAGAGATAATGGACAAGTTCTTGGTGCATATCGACATCTTTATGGTAATTTTACATGAGAAAGACATGCAAAGTGAAGCTCAAGGGATGACCTCCTGTAGCTCACCGAGTGATACTCTCTGAGAGCAGAACAAACCTTGAAGGATTAATGGAAGTGAGAATTGCTTCTCACTGTGGATATTGTAATTAGTGTTATGGAACAAAATGGCTCTAAGTGGCTAAATAACGGGCCATTTGCTTTGTGAACTTTCATTTAAAGGACAATTTAAAAAGAAAGACAGACCTTAAATCAATAGGCATATTCAGGCAAGTTGCTCCCTCTGTCCCTACACCTGAGGACTAGCAGAACTCAAAGAGTAATTACCTAAGAAGAATGCTACGGTCTCTGAAAAGGAGGACAGGAACATGCTGGGAGCCACTTCTCCCAGGACCCTGCCCACCTGCTGGTCCAGTGTTTCCCCATGCAGACGCTCATCTCTCTAAAAACCAAACACAATGAATTTGCACGTTACAGTTTCTTCCTAAAATAGCAACATCATATTCTTTGCTACTTCATCTTAACATAATAATAATAATAATAATAATAATAATAACAAAAATTATCAGCTTCATCTATTTACAGTATATGGTGGTGGTGGTGGTTGTTGATTGTCTTTGAGTCGAGCATGACTCATAGCGACCCTACAAACAAAAGGCTTGAAGTCCCTCTACAACTATCAACATTTATCAAAGTTCATAGCATATAAACTGTGGTGGGGAAAGTTTAATTCATTCCTGCGCTACCAGTTAGGTAATTTTCAAGACACTAATGGAAGACTGGACCACAGTGCGAGACAAGAGCTCGGCGCACAGGCTGCCAGTGGACCACTTGTTGAAGCTCTGTCGTGCTACTTAGACTACAGGAGGACGACAGTGGGCATCATTTTCTGCAAAAGGGGGGCATGTCTTGATTTCTTCTTGTACAAGCACCTTTGATCAAATGTATAATTCTTTACACCATGTCAAGAATTATTTTAATATTTCCAGAAGTCTGTTAGCCCTTCTTGCACTCACTGGGAAAAGATACCATTTAAAAACAGCCCAAAACAACCCACACCCAAGTCTTCACTTCCTATCTGTTACATTAACATGGGGCATATGGGGCAAAATTCTTCCCAAGCACTGAGGAGACAGGACAGCCAGCCTCCTGGTTTCCACATCACAGACCCTCGGCCCAGAGCCAGTCACTGGGGACTTGGGAAGACGGCAGCTGTGTGGACAGGACACATACCTGGTAGGTCTGGACCAGAATGAAGATGTTGTCCACGCCCACAGCCAGAACCAGAAATGGGATGACCTCAATTACAATGAGGGTGAGGGGGACCCCGATGTAGCTGAAGATGCCCAAGGAGCAGGCTACAGAGCTCAACACGATCAGGATGCCAGCAATGCCCAGGGAGATCTTGGAGTCCACCTAGGGACGGCACAGACAGGAGGCGGTGACCAGAGCCCTGCATGGCACCCAGCCCTCAGAAGCACTTCCTTATGTTTAGCCAATCTAGAGTGAAAGCACAATTCTCATTCTAGAGAACAGATGACACATTTCTAGGGTTTCCTAGCAATGCATGTTAGGAGCTCACGTCCTTACGTGCTAAACTGGACAAATTGGAAAAATCTGTGGTGAGAGATATAGTTAAGTTTAAGGTAAGCCAAAGCACCGGAGCTGAAGAAAGCAGATGCAGGAAAGAGAGACGCTCTACACTGATTATAAAAGCGGCATCTGGGGCAGTTTTGAGCATCACATATCAGGGTAAGGGGGCATCAGTATGACAGGCACTTGCGCTACCGCTTCTCTCTAACCCCGACACTCGCAGTCACATGCCCTTACCAGGAGCCTGCCACAGCTTTTGATGTGCCCCAGGGCGATGGAAATATAGACAAACATGACACCATAGCTGATGACCACAGTGAAGATATCACTGTTGCTCTCACGGTTTAGTTCATCTTCAATACTTCGTTCCGCAGTAAAAGAAATGGTCAGGTTGGGGTTCTTGTAGTTTTTCACAAAGTTAATAAACCTAAAGATAGTAAAAAAAAAATAAAATTACTTTCAGTTTTTAGTGAGAATAACAACTATGACAATATAAATGAATGAAATATAATGAAGTACTGTATAAAACACAAGTGCACATGCATGAAATAGAATGTTCATGAATGATAAAAATATTAATTTAAAAAATGGTGTGACTTAGATCTGAGCTGGTTAACTTAAAACTTCTAGCAGCACCCCTGTTGGCAACTCACTCTCCTTCCCAGGCTTGGGCCCTCTGCAGCTTCTCCGTGTCGTTGTAGTAATTATTGATAGGAAAGGTAATCACAAGGGCAGTCGCATTGTTGTAGTTTTGATCTAGAAAGGACAAAATGCGGCAACAGAAAGACAGGTAAAACCAGATCAATGCATGGGCTCAAATCCACCAGCTGCTCCACAGGTGAAGGATGGGCAATCTCCTCCCGTGCAATTAATAAGCTCTGAAAACTCACTGGAGGGTCAGCTATGGGTTGGTTCCAACTTGACGGTACACACCAAGAACAGTAAGTACGTAAGAAGTATTTCTAATCTTTTCTGGGATATAATATTTTTTTCTAGTATAATTTAAACAATCTCTACTCAGTGGGCACTGTTGCTTTTTGGTTGTTATTATTATAACAAAACTAGAAAAAATAATCTTTTGTAAAATACCTATTTGGACAATAAATTCTTTCAAGTACAGTCACTGAAAATCAGAAAAAGAGTATTTCTTATTTCTATAAACTCTCCCAAGGTGTCATCCAAAGGAGTTGTACATTTTTTAGTTCCTTTACTTAGTAACATATTTACTGTGCCCTCTTTGTACCTGGCATTATTAGGTAGGCAGGAGGAATACGTCAGCGAGTGACAAGAGGAAACAATGCCTGATATTCCGGAACTCACACTGCAGAGAAATAGTCAATCCTGCACCAACAACACAGAGGCCCTCAGGCTTCAACACCACACAACAGTGCTTTAAGAAACCCTCAGTGTTCTTTCCAATCTCATAGGCAGATAAAGAGAAATGAAATGCCTTATACTAACTAGGAGAGAGTTAGGCATTTTCCCCATATAATTAAACTATTTATTATTTCTTCTTTTGTTAACTTTTACTTTCTGCATCTATTTTCTCTTTTGAATGGAATGTTAGTTTTGTTGTTGTGGGGGTTTTTTACAAACAAGAACTCTTTACATGTGAAGAAAATATTAGTCCTATACAAGGATATTTCTCTTCACCTGTTTTTTCGTATCTTACATTTCTCCTCCACACAGGAATTTTGAAATCTTACGCAGTTAGATTTGTCAGTCTTTCCTTCTGTGGCTTTGCAGTTTTGTTCTTGTTCAAAAAGGTCTTTGCCATTTTAAGATTTAAAAAAATCCTCCTGTGGTTTTGTCTAGCTTTTTAATAGCTTTACGTATTCTGTTCCAATCTCTTAACCATATGGATTATATATACATGTAAGACAGAGCTAGCTCCACTGTAGTTTTGCCATATAACTAGCCAGCCACTGGCACTACCTTTCCCTGCTATAAGGATATAGCATTTTATTGTATGAGGCAGAGTCACAACCTCTCCTGCCTACTGGGGAGGAGGTGAAATGCCTTTGATCTCCTTATTGGACTGGAGAAAACCCGAAGAGCTGGCTTTAAGCAGGCCAAGGGTGTCACATGAACGATCACCCCACATATCAAGTTCAACCTGTTCCAAGGAGCTATTAGGATCAGTTCTTTAGTAAAACAATTGAGTCTGCCATTGTGAAGTGTCTAAATTCTCAATGAGCTGGCTTAGAAGTGAAAATAAGATAGCCTCTTTCCCCACGAATCACACTTCCTTTCCTCCCCGTGAGGCTCACGGGCTCCTTAGGAGCCTACTGATGACTTTCCAGGGTTCCAGGAATTCCCTGGAAGTGGACAGTCTAGTAGGTGGTTGTGCATTATTCTGGTAAAAAGGCTCTTAGCTTTCAACAGCTTCTCAGAGACCAAGGTAACCTAACATAGGCTAAAGACAAAAGAATTAACTTTTAAATCCAGAATAAACTCTAAATCCAATGAAATAAAGAATTAATAAGATAGCTCAACTTCTGAAATCTTTGTAATTACCATCTTATCATCTGACTGCTAATGACTGAGGCAAAAATTCTTTCTCTGATTGGAAAAGTCAAAGCTTCTCCACGTACCATCGTAGCCTCCCAGCACGAGCCACGGGAACACGGGCCCACCAAACGTGCCAAGACAAGGGTCATGGAGCAAACTCGTATCATTCAGCGAGGCGGGTGCTCTGAAAGAAAACCCAGAGATGGCTTCTAATTAGAATCAGTCTTGTGACACCACAGAGACCTGGGCTTACTACAACTTAAACTTAATGTAGACGCTGAAGATGGCTAATTTAGATGCGGAGGATGAGTCATTCAGCTCAGTACAAGCATCTGAGAGCTCAGAATTCACCCAGCAAGAGGCTGGCAAATAAGATGTTGTCACCTGTGCCCCACAGTACATGGTGATATGGTGGCTAACTAGGGGGCAGCAATTAACATAAGGAGAAATGACACCAAAAAGAAGAGACCAGCATAGACCTAACCTCAAGGACAAGGACCAGGAGGGCAGGGAGGAGGGTGGACCACACACTGCAGTGGTGGGACGGGAGGCACAGTGAGAACAGTGTGCAAGAGAACAAGAGTTTGAGGAGTGTAAGGGGTCCTGTGTGTCCACAGAACAGGGTGTCCACGTTGGTGAGGGTGACTCCTGATGGAAGGGAGGAGGCTGGGAAGGCTCAGGGACAATGTAAAAAAGGCTTTAAATGCTAAGCTGAGGAGTTTGCATTCTTTTTTTCTTTTCCCATTTTTTAAAGAAACTTATTAATTTCATCTGACATACTTTGGACATGTTGTAAGGAGAGACAGGTTCTTGGAGAGGGACATCATGCTTGGGAGGGTGGAGGGACAGCGCAGGATGGGAAGACCCTCTATGAGGTGGATTGATTCAGTGACTGGGGTAATCGGGATGGGTGTGTCAGAGGCAGTGCGACTGGCACATGATAGAGCAGGGTTTAGGGCTGTTGTATATAGGGTCGCTATGAGTTGCAAACGACTCGACGGCATATAATAACAACAACAATTATTAATTTAAATAAAAATTTACAGAGACTTTGCATTTCCATTCATTCATTGTTGCACTTTATCCCCTGCCAACCCCCCCTCCCCAGTACACTTCCCTCTTGGAAAAGTAAAAGAAAAATTCTTTCATTGTTTTACAATCCCTACCCCCAGGTCCACTCCAATATGCAGCCTTCACTCTGGACTTCTGTCATGACAAAAATACCTAATCACATATCCCTTTTAAACAGTTTTCTCCCTCATCTGTTTCAATGCAGTATACATTATTGAACCCATCTTTCTAAGTCTCCCCCCAACCCCGAGGTCAGTACTGTTTTACAACAGTGGCACCATGCAGTATTTGTCCTTTTGTGACTGAGATACTTTACTCAGCATAATGTCCTACAGGGTCTCCCATTTTGAATAATATTGCATGAGTTCCTTGTTTTTGAATGCAGCGTAGTACTCCACTGTGTGAATATACCAGAGTTTCTCTATCCATTTGTTTGTTGATGGGCACCTAGGTTGCTTCCAACTCCTTGCTATTGTGAACAAAGCTGCAATAAACATGGGTGTGCATATATCTTCCTGGATGTCAGTTATGGTCTCTTCAGGGTATATTCCCAGTAGTGGAATTGCTGGGTCAAATGGTATCTGCAGTTGGAACTTTTTGAGAAAGCACCATACTGCCTTCCACAGTAGTTGCACCAGGAGTTTGCATTCTTATCCTGTAGGCACTGACTGTCAGGAGATAACTTGTAGGGGGGAGAAGTGGAAAAGGGTCTCCTATGGTCCAGACGAGAGGTGGCCGGGACCAGCACCACACTAGTGCATGAAAGACGGACAGCAGTGGGAGGGGAGTCACCACCTTCACTCCACCTTGCAGACAACTCGAGTTTATGGTGCATGAGTATGTATACTTATTGTTTTAAGTGAGTATGGTTCATCTTTACAGGGGTGAACTCTTTGAAATAAACATAGTCCAATGGTTTCAAAGGTCATATTCTAATATAAAAACACGCAGAACCTGAAGTCACTAAATAGGACAGGTATTGTGGTGTGTGGCTCTGAGACACAGTCAACTGAGCAGTGTACTCGGAGGTGATGAGGTGTTCATTTCTGTCCTGTCTTGAACATACAATTGCCTGTGTGGCGGATCTACCAGGAGCAGTGCTCCAGGACAGCAGGTCAATCCTGTGTCACACGTACTCCTGTTTCCTGGGAAAAGTCAAAGGCCACCTCACTGGTCACCACACACAGCTTCTCTGTGACTTGTTCAAATGACAACCCTGCCTGGTCAGACATCCACCCTGCAGGAAGTAGGGTCACATTATACAACCTAAAATTCCCATTTTGCCCATGGAGGGCAGGTTATGTATTTTTAAACAACTCAGTGTCAAAAAACCAAAACAAAACTCGGTGTCACGACGTAAGATTTTATCTGAAAGATAAAAGGAAAAAAAGCACTAACGGTGCCTATTTTTGTGCTATGAAACTAGCTCACCAAAGCTTTAGGAGGTGGCATGGGACATGGAACTGTGCGCTACCAACTGAGGCCTGAGTTCAAGGGTGAGAGGCTTCAAGGGTGAGAGGCACCTGCTGTTCCTTCATGGTCCACAGATACCCCGTCACAGGGTGTCTGCACCTGCTGTTCCTCTTCATGGGTGTCTAATTCTCCCATGAGATTCCTTGCTTTTCTTTCCTGGTCTCCGTCTCTCTGCACTAACACACTCTATTGCTTCTACTCCATGTCTGGCTGTTTTCTTGCACAGAACATCCTCCTACTTAACAGTGCATTTTTAGCTAGTTGATCTCTTGCTATCCATTAGAGAGCTGGACAGTAGTGTTGTAGAAGAGTACTGATTATACCATGGACTGCTAGGGAAACAAAGAGGTTCGATCTGGAGAGGGTGAGGCCAGGCTGCTCCTTGGAGGCAGGGATTCTGAAGCTTCATCTGACATACTTCGGACATGTTGCAAGGAGGGACCAGTCCTTGGAGACATCATGCTTGAGAAGGTGGAGCGACAGTACAGGAGAGGAAGGCACTCGATGACATGGACTGATTCAGTGACTGGGGTAATGGGGGTAGGTGTGTCAGAGACAGCAAGATTGGCACAGGACAGAGTAGGGTTTAGGGCTGTTGTATATAGAGTTGCCAGCAACTCGATGGCACATAATAACAATAATAAGTTTATCTCTTTCCGTATTAGAAAGTCACATCAGAGAGCCGGGTTTTAACCTGATTATTCACAACTGTCTCCCTAGTTCCTTCCAGCAATAACAGCTACTCAAACATATGGGATAAATAAATGACTAATAAATAATTAATGGATATTATTGATTATATAATAATAAAATAAAAAAATAAATTCCTCCTGAAAGGCAATCTTCACACAGGCAACTGTGTCTCTGCTACTCACCTCACACAGTACAGAAAGTGTGTGTGGTAATCCGCATACACAAAGAAGTCGTCCCCTTTGATATGGTCCAGCACAGAATGGCTGTTTTGGAAGTAATTCAACACGCTCATAATTGTGCAATTGTTGTTATATGGTGAGAGTGGAGCCAAGCAGAGGTCCTGCAGCGTCACAGTCTCATTGTTATACAATGCGGTAATGCTTTCGATGGCTGTCTGTAAGTCAAGAACCTGAGGGAGAAGTAAAACCAAATAAATTAGACAAAGGTCAAGTTTCTCTCAGAGTTTGAGTCATGATGGCCCTAGGAGGTCAAAAGAGAAAAAGTATTTGGCAAAATGCTTCCTAAGGTGGCACACAGTACAAGGTACCCTGTAGTACAGCCTGATGATGTCAAGGATCCAGCTTAAGTGGCCAGCAAACTGGGAAAATACCCATCTTGGGGGCATCAAGAGAGACAGAGACCATCAAGTAGCAAGCCAAAACATGAGAGATGTCAGCAAAGGACACATGAAACACATGAGGCCCTGCTGGCCTCACTCCGGCAGTGACAACACATTCACAGTTATAACCTCTAGCATCTTTAGTTGTGACGTGTACTATTCTCAGTTGTGACCTCTAGTACCCTTAGTCATGACCTCTAGCATCTTCAGTCATGACCTCTAGCCCCCTCATGTCCTTCTCTTCACTAACTACACACGATCTATTGCTTTGCTACATACAATTACTAATCTCAATAGATAATCACCGAGAAATCATGCTAGTCAAGTCTTGGGACTATTGTGATGTTTTTCAAGATATCAGGCCTTCTATAAGTGAGAGCATGGAATTATGCTGGCACAGCGGCTCAAAAGGTTGACATTAAACCCCTCAGTCACTCTGAGGGATAAAGACGTGGCTGGCTGTCTGCTTCTATCAAGCTTTAAAGCTTTCGAGACTCGGAGGGACAGTTCTCTGTCTTACAGGTCACTGTGAGCTGTAATTTACTTGATAACAGTTTGGCTTAGCATCAGAAAGCAATGTTTAAAGGAGAAATTAATATGATTGCACAGCATTCCACCAAACAGAAAGTGGGAAGTAGTTTATTCGCAAGTACAGTTCTGCACAGCATGTGTGCTAAGATCAAAAAGTTTAAAGGCCTTTTTAAGAGAAGTGGGTCAGCACCTCATCTCAAATGCACAGCCTGCCAAGGCCAGTCAGGACCTGCACTGAGGCAGTGATAAGCCTACTCCTCCGTGTGGATTAATGCCAGCTCAGTGGCTCCTCCCTGCCCCCATGACAACAGGGAACCTCATTCCTCTGGGCCTGAGCATAGCACTTGCAGTTACTAAGGGAGAAAATTTATCAATCCCTAAGGTGAACAAACACATTTTGTTTCCATACTGAAATGCTACGCAAGTCTTCCTCTGCTCATCTGTATCCTAAATGGTGAGAAGCTGTGCTGCAAACTCAAAGGCACGCAATTCAAACCTACCAGCTGCTCCATGGGAAGGGGATGGGTATCTCCTCCTGTGTGACAAAACACCTCTGAAAGCCTGCTGGAGGGTCAGCTATGGGTCAGTTCTGACTCAACGCACAACAACTAAGCAGGCTACAGCCCAGGTGCATTTAATACCTATTACTCACTTGCTTGAAAAATGAGTTAAAAGTGTACTTTTATCTTTCAGATTTTCAGTAAATGCTAATACCTTCATCCCCAAATCCCTAATAAGCAGAACTGGTCAATAACCAGGTCCATCTTCCTCCCTGGGGCTGGTGTGTATAAACAGCAGACTGCTGTTACTGTTATGCCTCATCAAGTCAACCTCACAGCGAGCCCACAAACAGCAGAGCTGAACCACGCCCCATCCCGACCATGCCCACAATCTCCATCAAGCACAAGCCCATGGTGGTCACCACTCCAATCACTGAGGGTCTTCTGCTCTTACTGTGATTCTCTACTTTTCCCAGCATGATATCTTTTTCCAAGGACGGGCCTCTCCTGACAAGCCCAAAGTATGTGAGATGTTTCCCATCCATACTGTAAACCCTATGGATAATAGCAGGTTGTTACTGTCGTAGGTGCCGTCGAGTAAGACTCATTGCAACCCCATGAAGAACATATCTGAGCCCTGCCCCGTCCTGTGCCACCATCACGCTCTCTCCCAAGTAAGCACAATGCTGCAGTCACTGGTGATTGTGACGGCAGTCAGTCTACCTGGTGAGGGTCTTCCTCTCTTATGTTGACCCTCCACCTTTTTAAGCATGTTATCACTCCAGTGAATAGCCTCTTGTAGTGAAGAAGCCCTGGTGGCTTACTGGTAAAGAAGTTAACACGGCCAATTCAAAGGTAGGCAGTTCAAATCTAGCAGCTGCTCTAAAGGAGAAAGATCGGCAACGTCCTCCTCTGTGATGGAAGAGTAGATTACCTGGTGCAAGATGTCTTTGTCAAGCGGAGGTCCAAAAGGCACATCAGCCCCTGAGGGGTAAGGCTGATAGGTGTGCTTTTTGGTCTGGGGGGCCCGGATGATGAGCTGCTCTGTGCGGAAGAAAGGCCCAAAGCGCGTGTCGAAGTACTCCCTCTCCCTGCGTGCCTGGCTGCTGGGGGCGGACCAGAGGTCGACGGGATTGGTGGTGACCCGCACGAACATCAGGCCTGAAGAGCATGCGCCAATGAAGACCAGCGAGAAGAAGATGACGCAGCCGGGGTTTCGGACACAGAAAGCCCCCCACTTTGTAAACAGTCGCCTCAAATAGCCCTCAAAGGCTGCACCAAGCTGGTCACAGCAGGTTGCCTCCCCTGGAAGAGCAGGAGAGGAAGGGAGGGTGGAGGTTAAGAGCCAAGCCATTCCTGAAAGTTGGAACAGGGAGAACATTAGCTACCACTATAGGTGGTGGCCACCTAAGGCCTCACAAGATGGGCCCAAGGGCCTTACGAGCCCTGGCGCCCTCTCCTCCCGCTACAAAAAATGGCATCCCAACCCACGAGGAATAATGCTCACACGAGCCTTCCTCTGAAAAGGGAACTGCTTGGACCGCTTTGTGTAAAGCGATTTCCCATCAACCCTGCCCCTACAGCTCTCAGCTGCCTTGATCTCCCCCCTCACTGCTGTGTCCAGCCTGTGGCTGTGTTACTACCACTATGAATCAGCGGGTTCTGATTGGCCACCCCAGCTAGCCTGTTAGTGCTGCAGAGACCAGGGCCCTCTCTGTCTGGGGTACACCCTCGGCACTACCGCAATGGCTCACCCGCTGCAGGTGCATCAACATGTGGAGGGGGAAATGGATGCTCACGTGCTAATGTCATCCAAACACTTTCACTACTGTGCCAAACATTCCTACCTTTGTCACTGGCGTTGACAGAATAAGCTATGTTGCTGTCAATGGGGGTGTACTCAGAGACAAAATACCGTTTCCTGAAAAAAAAAAAAAAAAGTGCGTCAGTGATCTTGTTGCTGTTGTGTACAGTAGAGTCAGAACTGACCGAGTTGACCCTCCAGCAGGTTTTCCGAGGCAGTTAACTGCATGGGTGGAGATTGCTCATCCTTCTCCCATGAAGTAGCTGGTGGCCTCGAACCCCGCGCTTTCGGGATTGCAGCCCAGCTTCTTGCCACTTGGCCACCAGAGCTCTTGTCAATAGTCTTAGTGAGTTCATAATGAGGCTGCTGCAAGATAATCTGTTGCACTGGGTCCCTCCGCTCACTAGTCTTAGGGGAAGGTTTTAGAAGGTATTTTTCAAAGTCCCAGTGAACTCATAAGGAATAATTTCACCTTGTAGTTTGTATTCAAAAATTTTTAGATCCTAAGGGGTGAGGGAGAGGGAGGTAACTGTGCAACAATGAATAAATATTTAAAAAAACCACAGTGACGGCAGAGAGGAGAACGGGTAAAATGTGCAACAATGAATGAATAAAAATCTAACTTTTCTGTAAACTTTCATTAAAATCACAATTAAAATAAAAAACTTTAGATTCCCCATCAACAAATGAATGGGTAGAAAAACTATGGTACATTTACACAATACACAGTATTGAAAAACAATGAACTTTGGTAAAACATTACACAACATAGGTGACCTTGAAGGACATGATGCTGAATGAAATATCTCAGTCACAAAAGGACAAACAGTGCATAATACTGCTGTTAACAAAATAGGACAGACATGAGGGGGTTGGGGAGAGAATGGGGAAAGAGTGGATAAATAATGAACACTGTATTAGAACTTAGGAGTGTAAGAACTGTCTGAAAGGAATATATGATTACACGTTATATGAATGACAACAATTTGTAACAAGGGGTGTATTTCAGGGAGTGCTAGGCAAGGGGGAGAGGAGGAGGAAGGAAATGTGCAACAATGAAAAAATAATACATAAAAAAGAGGGGTGAAGATGGGCGGGGGGGAAGCACAGGGTCACACAATTTGGTGGGCAGAGGGGTAAGATAACAGAAATGGTAAAGATCCAGAAAGGATCTGGAAAGACAAGGTTATGGTGAGCACAGTTCAATGGTGATTAATTTTATAATTAAATGAAACACATTATTAATGAAGAATAGTGTGAAATACAATGTTTACAAACTTTGTAAGGAAAAAAATAAAAATTCGGAAAAAAGCAATAGAATAGAAAAATGTATATCCTTCAAAAATATACTGTTCTCACAGCAAAATATTATAATGAAATGTCCAAAGAACTGGAGCTAGAAAACAAAAAGGAAAAAACACACAAGACTTTTCTCAAACTGAAAGTACTGACGAACAAAGTCAAACCTTGAGTTGCAACACTGCAGGATTCTAGGGTCAAATGACGCAGGAAGATGCAAGAACATTCAGAGTCACTGTACCAAAAAGAAGTGGTTGACATGGAACCATTTCAGGAAGTAGCATATAGTAATTAAGGAAGAAGATTAGGTTGAAACTCAAGGTACTGGAAAAAGCAAGGTGCCAGGAGTTGGTGGAATTGATCTGTTTGAACTAATAGATGCAACCCTGGACATGTTCACCAGTCTATGCCAAGAAATTTGAAAGATAGCTACCTGGCCAACTATCTGTAGGTGATCCTACAGAATTTACAAATCATTGAATAATACCATTAATATCACATGGCGGTAAAATCTTACTGAAGAATATTAAAGTAAGGAATAAAATAAAAAGTTATTTCTAAAAGCACAATATATAGATATGGCCCTTCCCAGGAGCACTGAGCAGTCTTGTTTCTAAACAATAGAAGGAACCGGGGATCCTTGCTGAAAAGGCTGATTCCAAGCACTGGATCAGGGAAAATAAAAGATGAAACTGGAACACCTTGTGATACCAGAAAACAAGAAAGTGCTCAATAAAAGATAAGAGCACAGCAGACAGACAGAACCAGCCTTATGTAAACACTGGAAGCAGTAAATAAATGGAGGTGAAGGGACAGACCTTTGTACTTTGATGCTCACTGGTGGTGAGTCAGAATCAACTCACGACCGATCCTCCAGACAGTTTTCTCTGGCGGAACCATGGGAGGGGCTTGGCAGTTAGGCTGGCAGTGTAACTCCCTACCAACTCTGCTTCCAAAGTTCCCTACAGATCTTTGTACCGGCAGCTACTAAATGTACAAAATATGAGGAAAATGCTGTGTCATCATCATGCAAATATCATCATAATAACTGTTGTAAACAAGCTCCACCAACAGATGCTAAAACAACAGTGGGTAAAAGTTCAAGAAACAGAATATTAGCAGAGTTTCAAAACATCTCTTTCATGATAGTGACCATCACAAAAGGAAAACCATTAACCCTGCAGCAGAGAGATCCAACAAACACCATCTGAGCTAGGAGATTAAGGCTGGCATTACCAAGAACCACACAAGGACACCATGGACTCTGATGTGACATGCTGAGGACACATTCCATTTCTGGGTGCTCTTGTCCCAAGCACACCACCTCAAGCCTACTTATGAGAAAAGATCAGGTGAGGACAGACTGAGGAACATCCCACAAAATACCTGCACTTTATAAAAGTCACTTTTCTAAAGTGTCAAGGTCACAAAAGACAAAGACTCAGGGTCACAGACTGGAGGAGACTAACTAATATAACAACATCGATCAGATGTGGGACCCCAGAACCATAAAAGGGCCTCAGGAGGAAAAAGTGGTGAAATCTGAATGAAGTCTGTGATCCAGCTAACAATATGTTACCAATGTATTATTCTTAAGTTTAGTAATTGTATTGTGGTTATGTAAGTTAGAACATTAGGGGATGCTGAGCAAAGAATATGTATGTACTACTTCTGAAATTTCTAAAGGTCTAAAAATGTTTCCAAAACAATCCCAGGGAAGAAGTCTGAAGAGTGCTGCTCCATTTGGGAGACCTCTAATTAACGTCATAAAGCAGCATCTGTATGAAGGAGTGAATGGAAAGCCAGGTAGTGCAGAATAAACTTCCACTTAAAGCATAAGAAAAGTTTTAAAATGTTATAAAGTTGTTTTTTTCTTAAAAAAAATACTGGTTTCAGGGCCCTATGGTACAAACCATTAAGTCCTTGGCTACTAACTCATCCAGATGCCTTTGAAGAAAGGCCTAGCAAATGACAGTGGAAATATCACCGCTTTCATGGGGGAGAAAATATTGCCCTAGAGCAAAATACAGGGAGCTATAAGGAGTGAGGATAGTACTGCTTCTAATCAGGAATGCAAGGGAATCACCCTGAAACCCACAGCGTCCCTTTTCAGCAGGAAGTAGCTAAGAGAATACGCCATCCCCTTTTCCTTATGAATCAGGGTGAAGTCTCTCTCAGGGAGGAGTGATAGGGAATGGCAAAGGACACACTGACAAAGGAGATTAATCAGAACTGGCTTTGACAAGCACTGTGGCAATTGGACAATTAAAACAGACATGGGGCAGGGGGAAAGAAGAACAAACTGGGGATGAGGGTGGAGAAAACAGTGCAACAATGAATGAATGAAAACCCAAAAATCTCTGTAAATGTTCATTAAAACTAATAAAATTTAATTTAAAAAAAAAAAGAAAAAGAAATGCAAGGGAAATGAAAAATGAGATCTGCACTAGATTGACCCCGCACGACATTTCTAGGGCTGTATTGCTAACCTAAAGGGTGCTCTTCTCCGGTGGTTCCAACCCACTTGCAGCTCCTTGGGAGAAAGATGGGCAGTCTCCCCCCATGTGATTCACAGCGCTAGAAACCCACCAAGCATCAGTTATGAGTCGGAACTGACTCGGCAGCAACAAGAGTAAGATTAACAAACAGGCGATAAATTAAAATCTGAAAAGACCTTTCAATGGTTACTACTTGCAGGGCATAAACATTCTTAGACAGATACTTGTCTTATGTTGTAATTAACCAACATGGCCAAGCTGAAAGCTTTAAAGTGTCAGCAGGTAATTGTGCTCTTCCTGCCACAGAGGATGAATAAAACTACTTACCTGTAGCACCACACTGCAAAAATGGCTCCAAAAAACACAAGCAAAAATGCCATGTAGGTGATCCACATGATGACGTACATGGCGTCCAAGCCAAAGATTATCCATGGAGCAGGAGGAGGCGGGGGCTGCGGCTTGGGGCCACAGACGGCGGAGCAGTCCTGGCAGCTGCAGGGCCCTGTGACCTCGTCCACGGCCTCGTCACAGCCCTTGGTGGCATTGTTCATGGGCTCCATCCCAAGTACAGGCACATCTACAGGAAGGGAATATATGGGTCAACCATCTCAGCATGTTGCCACAAATGACGGCAAAATGTGTTTCTAAGCACGGTCGTCAATTTAAAAGTGTGCGGCAATGTGTTAAAGAAAAGCATTAAACATGTTTTGTCTCATATTACACTTAAACTCAACAAGGACACACTGAAATATACAGCATGGCTGTAACAATAAGAGTCTTGAATTTTTCTTGATGAAATTAATAATTATGATGTGCTGCTTGGCGCTCTAAAACCTCAAGTTACCTCAACAATTCAGTGTGTGGGGTCGTCACTGAGAAAAGAATACACTGTACATCAAGTTAAACCATAAATCATGTCTTATCTCCACCCAAAGGAATTACCCAGATACTATGGCAGAGCTTCTGAAAAAGTCATTGTAATCTTTTGGCCTTTTTAAAAAAAACAAGCAAAAAAAAGTACTCTTTTTCAGCTATGGAGACACTGATTCTTCCCCAGGATCCTCCCTCAATGACTGAGGGGCAAGATCCACGCATGAGTTATCCCTCTCAGGAGAGAAGGCCCAGGAACCAGTCATTTGAAACTCTTTAACTTCTTATTTCAAATGACTGGGCCATGCCTAATTAATTAGTAGTTCCTGAATGTGACAGCACAATTGCAGAAATTATAAACATTTTAGGAATTAAAAGAAAAATTAAGAATTCATATCCATTTTACCTTAAGGATAAAATATGCAAGGTGGTCTCTTAGTATGGGTAAAATAAATTTAAGTTCTCCAATTAAAAAAAATTATTGGGGCAATCTGGCTTTAAAATAGCATCCATCACATATGCATTGAATTTGAGAGTCTTTATCCCCACCTGAAAATATAGGTGTGATGGTAAACGGAGCCTGGCCGTTGTCCTTGTTGAACATGTACTCAATCCAGTTGGTGGCATTGCAGGCTTTGGCGTCCTTTCCACACAGCAGTCCAAGGGCTTTGTCATTACTTGAGGGAGCCTCGACGTCCCGGCAGGCGTTGTACATGGCTGGAAGGGAACCCCAGGGAGAAGACTGAAAGCCAGCGTTTGCATTAATTCAGCCATGAGAGCTCAGAAAACACTGATCTCTCTGTGCCCTGCAACCCAGTAGTATTAGGTGAGCACCTGGGATGTAGGACAGTCAACAGGAAGGACTAGAATGGAGAGTCCCTTCAAACTGGTTTATCAACCTGCAAATTCTACTGGAGGCTAGATTCCAAGTAAATGAAGAGTGAACATCAGACAGGAACAGTTCTCGTTTTCCCATGGTGTTCTCATAGCAACAGAGAAGTAGCATCTTGCACCCCTGCAGCCAGGATGGGGGCCCAGAACCTCACCTGATGGGAGAACTGTAACTTTCTAGGCTCTTCTTCCACTACACTTTAAGGATATGTTTAGAAATTCATTTTGCTTTGTCCTTTGAGCAACGGTACTTCCACGGATCTGTGAAGATGTTCTTCCATTGCTTCCTGGCCTGCTATTTAAAACCTCTCGCAGTCATTCTTTAAGACTTGTCTCTTCTTTCCATGTGTTTTTAAGACATCTGTCTCTGGTGCTTTACAGCTTTTCTGGATAGGGCAGTCACGGTTCAGTGGGTTCACTGGTAGGATTTTATGGGAGATCCAGGTTTGATTTTCAGTCAGTGCACTCACACACCACCCCACCTCTGTCAGGGGAAGCCTGCACACCACTGCAACACAGAGCAGATTTCAGTGGAGCTTCCACACTAAGACAGAGTAGAAAGAAAGGTATGGGCATTTACTCCTGAATACCCTACGGCTCCCAAAAGGCTTGTTATTCTGTGTCTGATGTCACTATGGATAGCAGACTGATCCAACAACTACCACCACTAGAACTATCTTTAGATGTATAATTCTGTGTGTGTGTGTGTGTGTGTGTTCTGTTAAATCAGATCTGACTGGTACAGGAGGGGATTGCTCCTCCTTCTCCAGCAGAGTATCTGGTGGATTTGAAATGCAAATCTCTGGGACTACAGTGCAACTTCTTGACACTAGGCCAACAGAGCTCCCCTAGATGTGTAACTCTTATTAATTTATCCTGCCTAAGGATTCCTTCTGTTTTTTCCATCTGAGGATTTATAACCATTCTGGAAAAGTCTCAGCCAGTATGCCTTTGCCCACTGTCTTTTTTCAACCCCTCTGTCTTTTCAATTGCTAGAACTCTTAATTTTATTTAGTATATATTTCAAGCATATAGAAAAGTATGGAGACTACTACATATATTTCACCACTAACCTCCAGACATCTTGCCATTTTATAATATTTGTCTTAACAATTAAAAATTATGCACTATAGAGACAGCTAAAGCCCTCTAACTCTATCAGCAGTGGTCTCCCTATTCCGTGGCAGTCACACCCCAATTAGATGCTGACATTCCTATGAATGTATGCTGGTATTAACATTCACAAGTACTAGTCTGTCTTAAAATATCACATGAACTATAATATGATCTCTGTTCTGCAACTAAGTTCTCTACCAATGTTCTAAAAGGTTCATTAACCCTGGCAGATATACTAATTTGTACATTCTGATACTGTTATCCATTCATCTATGTAACGATAAGGCATGTGATTAAAATCCATCAGCTGCTCCACGGAAGAAGGATGGGTAATCTCTTCCTATGTGATTTACCGTCTCTGAAAATCCACTGGAGGGTCAGCTATGGGTCGGTTCTAACTTGAGGCACACAGCAAAACCAATAATCTTCTCAACAAGGAACCTTGGTGGTATGGCACAGTGGTTAAAAGCGTACAGCTGCTCATTGCAAAGTTGGCGGCTTGAACCCACAAGCCAGTCATCTGGAGAAAGAGAAGGCAGTCTGTGTCCATGGAGATCTGCAGATGTGGAGCCTCTGTGAGCACTTCTACTCTGTGCTAGAGGTTGCTATGAGTCAGAATCAAGTTGACAGCAGTGGGTATACTGTCAGCAAATCCACTCATTCTTTTGTTAACAAGCACTTCACACACTTACTTTCATTGCATCAGTACTGACTCACAGCTGACTCCACTGGGTTTTCATAGACAGTGACCAGCATTTAGTGTTCCTAATTTCTCATGATCACAATATTGCTACCATAAACAGTCTTACTTGAATCCTTCTAGTTTTCTTTTCATGGAAGCATAGGGAGATCCTTAGTGAAGTAGAATGACACAGTGACTGTAACAATGGGCTCAAGTACATCAGAGATAATGAAGAAGGCTCAGGATTTGGCAAAGGCCAGACAGATCCATTTATGTTTTAGGTGCTGTCATGCACAACTCATAGTGACCCTATGAAGAGCCAACCTGAATCCTGCCCTATCTGTGCCATCCTCGTCAGCTTTGATACACAGGAGCCCACTGCTGGTTGTTGTTATGTTGTAGTCGACTTGATGACTCCAAACAACATTTTTATGTGGAGAATTTCTCTAGGGTGGGCACCTGAAGGTGAAATTTCTGAGTGGTTCACCCGGCAGTCAGTCCAAAATGGTTTATCAAAACGGCAACTTGCATAGTGACACAGCATCTTAGAATTCTTATTGTTCCACATCTTTATTAATGTCTGGAGTTGGCCACTTTCTAATTTGTGCCAACCTCATAATGTATGATTATGAGCCGCTCATGGTTTTAACCAGCATCTCCCTAATTATTAGTAAAAATGAGCATCTCTCCCTAAGTTTTGTGTAAGCTATTTTGTGGTTAGTTTAATGCCCATTTTACAAAAATATCGATTTGTGTATATATCTTTGTGCATCTCTTCACAAAGCTCTGCTTGTTCCAGATACTTATCACTGTATTTATAAATATTTTATGGTTTTGTTGTTCATCTAGAAAGCTTCCCTTATTTTAATAAGGATGCTTATTTAAAAAATTTACATCTCACACTTAGTTGTATAGCCAGTTCCTTTTTAGCATAAAATGATACGTTGCTGTTGATTGCCTTCAAGTCGAGCATGACTCATAGTGACCCTAAGAACACAAGGTCTGAAGCCTCTTTGCAACTACTGACATCTATCAAAGTTCATAGAGTTTCTGGAGGCATAAAAAGAAAAGTTAGATGAATATGGATAATCAATAATCTCCACACATTTATTAAGCAGTCGACTTTTCCCCTCAATGATGCATCACGACATATCTGTCCTTTATCAACTTCCCTGATAAGCAATGTTTTATCCTATTTCTGGACACAAAGGGCCCTCTCAATTCTGGTAGCATGCATTTAAGTTGTAGCTTTTGATAGACTGTTTTCCTAGGCATCTTACTTTTGCTGCCTTTTCTAAATGGGATCTTTTTTTCTATTTCGTTATTTTCTTGTTACATTTTTAATTGGGCCATTACAAAGAAGTGTGTATGTTATCCTTCAGGTCAAAAATTTTATTGAATTTTTCACTAACTATATAATTTTGGTGTTGCATTCATAGTCAAGAAGTCAATTTCAAGTTCTATCCTGAAGTACAATGTTGTGAGTGATAGAATATTATACTGAACCAAAGAAGAAATTGAAAATTTCTACCAAATCTTGTAGTCTGAAATTGACTGAACATGCAATCAAGATGCGTTATTGATAATTGGTGACTGGAACGCAAAAGTTGGATGCAGGAAAGAAGGAATAGTAGTTGGAAAATATGGGTATGGTGACAGAAATGAAGCTGGAAATAGAATGATTGAATTTTGTATTTTCAATGATTTATTCATTGTAAATACCTTTTTTAAAAGGCACAATGACTTTAGAGATGGATCTGACCTGATGGGCTGCACAGGAATCAGATCGACTAAATTTGTGGAAGAAATTGTTGGAGAAGTTCAATATTGGCAGTCAAAAGAATGCCA